TCTGTCTCTCAATCCTTTGAAGATACCTAAAGATAATTCTTTTGAATTCCTTATCAGAGAGTTCCAATGCTGCTTTTTCCTCAGGCATATGTTCTGGGTCTGTATCTTGCTCCCTTGTTTCTACAACTTTATCCTGTTTCTTTGTGTGGACTGTGATGGTCTGTTGTTTCTGAGGTATCGTGATGTTGTTGTATTTAGATCTCTGTTAACTGTTTGTGAAGAGCAGCCAAGGGTGGTTCTGGCTCTTCTTGGTGGTTTTTTATCGTTGGCTTTTTCAGTCTTGCAGGCCCTGAGTGTCTTTGAGGTTTCTGGAAAGCAGAACATGTTCTTAAGCCCCAGAAATCTGCGAGAGCACTGTCTCTTTAAATATCCAAAATAGTCAAGCCGCTTTTTAAACCTACAAAATGGCAGCGGCTCCGGACCGGCAAAAGTCCACAGCTCAGCCCACCTTTCTCTTCACTTTCTCTGTTTGTTCCCCAGCCACCGTGCACAGTCCATGCAGTCCCTGGCTAGCAGGGTGATTTTTAGGTTAATTTTTAGGTCCTACCACCAGTCGGGAATGTCCAAGCCATTTGTGCCATCAGGGGTGTTCAGGTCCCTGCCAGACCGCAGCTCCGTATGTCTCCTTTTTTTAGTATTTTCATGCAAATTCTTCTGCTAGTTGGGGTTTAGTCCACTTCTGTATCCTTCCCTTCAAGGCTCAGTGGTCCAAGATTATCTTCTGTGTCTGTGTCAATTGGTTTCCCTTTTCTTTGTTGAAGAGGGTCTGTGCAGTCCTTCTGCCTAGTCCGCCATCTTGCCGCAACTCCCCCAGTGGCTGAGTTTTTGGAAGGAAGTCACCACACCTTTCTTCTGAAGACCCTCTGGGTAGTTTCCTAACCTTGTGGTTAGCAACCAGGAGCGACAACCCATCATACCACCTGGGCTCTCTATCGCCTCCAGGCTCAGAAGAAAGACAGATTAAAGTGAGCCTTAATCCAGACATTTACAGAAGAAAGATCCACCACAGTTTCTACAATATACAAATGCTATAATTTGCAACATAACAGAATTCAAGATCTAGAAGTTTGTGGTTATTACTTTTTTTTTAGGGACAGGGCTCAATCGTCCTAGAAAGGTCCTTCAAAGCAGAGATAGCAAATAAATCTTTAGTTTACTTTGAGCTTTTTTATATGTATTATCTACATATTTACCTATTCATGCAATTTGACATAATCTATGCCTTTTATCTCCTCTATAAAATAGATTCAATATTTACTTTTCAGGGTAGTTGTATTACATAATGTATCTAAAGCACATAGTTATAATCATTATTATTAACGCCCCCCCAAAAAAGTGTTGGTTTCCATCTATATGTATTATACTGCTAATAAAAAGATTACAGTTGGTGGAACAAAATGAGCAATAAGGAATCCATATGATTAGCCTGGGCAGCCGTGGACAGCAGTTGCTGCCTTTAGTGCCTTAAGAATAATTACAGACAGGCCTACAGGGTGTTTTAGGCTGAAGCAAACCCAAGCCCCAATATGTCAGTTGGCAGCTTCCTCCAGGTGTCAGGCCCTAATGAGACAGCCTGGTAAGACAACCAAAGTGACAGAACCCACCCATGCAAGTCCCATGCAATGACAAACTTCCTCCTGTGAAGACCCCTCATGCTAATTAAGTGCAGACCCCTGCTAACAGCTAATTGGACCCTGCCATTTCCTTAGAGGACCCTGTCATTTCCTTGGTGTCGCCAATTAGGTCCTCTCTGTGTCTATAAAAATCCATGCCCCCTGCCCGGGGGTGCGACTTCTCTGGCCCTGATGCTAGGGCATGAGAACCTCGCCTGGGAGTGCTAATAAACTGCTTCTCTGAAACAACTCCGTGTCCTGGTGTCTCGGCAGCTCTGCATTACAGGGTGAACATTTACGTTAGGCAGATACACTCCTTGGAGCGATCAATCATGGGAGAACAGAAGGGCAGTTCTTGCACAAGGAGACAGCTCAGGAAACAGGAATGCATAGGAAAGAAGGACTGCTACATTGTGGGGAACTGAAGGCAATATCATGAAACAAAAACATGTATGAACTGCTGTATGGAAAACGAATTTGCTCTATAAACTTTCACCCAAATCAATAAAAATTTAGGGAAAAAAAAAAAAAAAGAGGAAGAAGAATTACATCATCTAGATTATGAAACCCAAGGTCAATCCTTTAAATCCAGTGACTCATGCTAGGCCTAAAGGCTATAGAGAGGTGGCTTAAAGAATTTTCATAGATATACTATCAAAAAAAAAGCAAAGTGTAGTTCAAAAAGTTAGTATGATTTACTAAAATCTTATGGGGTCAGATCAGGGTAATAATCTAGAAAGGGATCAGAATCTTTTTTAGTTCTGTGTCTCTAGCCATGAAAGTGAAAGATAATTTTATCAGCTACATCAACATTACATATAACTAAACACTAAAGTAATCTAACATGAAAAAGGAAGAGAAATACAGAGATTAGGAAGTGGGAGATAAGATTTTTAAAAGATTATTGTATTGGGCATTAGTAGAATACCTGCATATCACTGTCAGGTTGTGTACTCTTTTCTACTGCCACCTGTTTCTCCAGTTTTGTAATCTGTGAGCTCAGGTTCTTAGTTAAACAAAGCGATATCTCATAGTGTCATCACCTGACGAAATGTCAACATGCTTGCAGACAGAGACTACTTCTAACACATATGAAACTAATATAACTATTAGAAGAAGCCCCCTCTGGATGGAACAATTAGAAAAGAGTACCTATTTCTCTGAGCTAAACCAGCTGGGCCTGGATAGGGCCACCACTCACTCAATGAACTGGGTACAATCTGTACAACTATATGCAGTTAACCCTGTCATGTAGAACACATAACTTACTTTTAATATGATGCTGACAGCACAGGCCATGCCCACTGATCCAGTTCCTATAATGGATATCTTATTGTGATGAATTATCTTCTCTGGAGAAAAATTCTTAATAAGTTCACACTTCAAAGTAGCCAACTTGGCAACCTAACAGTGAACAAAAATGTGATAAACCCAGTCATTTCTAGATTTGGAATTGGTCAGTAGTGGGGGGGGGCGGAGATATAGAGAACTGGACCCCATTATGGTAGGAAGTGTTGCAGGCACAAAAGGACTGATAAAAAATCATTGGAGGAGGACGAGGAAGGTAGATATAGTTAAGATGGAGGAAAGGAAGGAAATGGGGCTGTTCCACCAAAAATGAGACCACAACTGGGCTGGGTTTCCTTCCCTTCCTCCGCTTGGCCATCTTTTTAACTCCTCAGTCTCCCCCCATCCCAGCTCTCAGCTCCAAGAACCTGCCCTGAGGCCCTGAGGCCCTAAGGTTGGTTAGGCGCGAGGTACTTCTGGCGACACTCACGGGGACCAAGGGCCAGCCGCTCCTGAGAGGGATGCGTGCCACCTGGTGGGGACGCAGAGCCATCCCTGGGTAAAGGAAAGCTGCTCCCGAAGCGGCAGCTCTCCAGCTTGTATGCAGGACTCCCGCAGTCCAGCTCATGGCTCTAGTGATGGAGGAAGAGAGTAGGGGAAAGAGGCATGAGAGGTCGTTGAGGCTCGAAGGCGGGCAACCGTTGGCCGTTTGACACTCCCCTCGTTCCGCTACTGCGGCTGCGCAAGGTTGGGCCCAGCTACTGCAGGCCTCGATTGGGCCAAGGCTCCAGAATAGAGAGCAGGTCTGGGCGCCTGCGCCAGGTGTCCATCACCACCACGCTAATGGCGGACAGAGGTTTCTGAGGTTGGCCAACTTCTGAAAGTCTCCGTAAGCTGCAAGATGACAAGGTGCGGCAGGTATGTAAAACTAGAGGGCCTTAGCCACCAAAGGGAGTATAGCTTGCAAGGAACACATCCATTGGGGAGCTGACCGAGAACTAACCAAATCTTCTCTCAACAGAAAAACCAAACCCACTGCTATACAGTCAATTCCCCCTCCTAGGGCTTGCTGACTCTCCAGGAGTGTGAGAAAGCGATCTCAGGGCTACTTTTTTTTTTTTTTTTTAATTTTGATTTGGGTGAAAGCTTACAGAGCAAATTCATTTTCCATATGACAGTTCATACACGTTTTGTTTCATGACATTGACTGCAATTCCCCAAAATGGAACAACTCTCTTCCCACTTCCTCACTGTAGTTACCTCTTCCTTGTGTCCTTCCCTCCCAGGCACTCCCACACGCCCAGCTGTCACCCTGTGCAAACACTGCTCTTCTGTTCTCCCACGATTGATTGTTCCAAGGAGTGTATCCACCTGATGTAAATGTTCATAAGCCTGTCTGTTGTTTGGCGGGAAGCCACAGGAGTGAGTTCAGTTCCAGACCTGAAAGGTGACTAGGGGCTATAGTCTCAGGGGTCTCACCAGGCTCTATGAGACCAGCAAATCTGTTGGGGTTTTTTGTGCGATTTTGAGTTTTGATTCACATTGTTCTCCCACTCTATCCAGGATCTCCTGCACTGATCCCCTCAGGGCTACTTTTTACCACCACATTTGTGAATTTAAGTAGGGAAAAATCAAATGTTAAAACCTATACAAGGTTCCGATAAAACGGCAGAGTATGCAGATAAACTACACAGACCTTCTTAAACAAAGAAAAGAGGAACCAATTAACAAACATACAAAAGATAATCCTGGAGCCCTGAGCTTTGAAAGGAAGGATACAGAAGTGGACTAAACTCCAACTAGTAGAAGAACCTACATGAAAACTTCAAAAAAGGAGACATATGGAGCTGCAGACTGTCAGTGATCCTGACAGCACTGACAGCTTGGATATTACCAAGTGGTGTTTGGACCTAATGATTAACCTAAAAATCGGCCCTGCAAGCCAGGGCCTGTGCGGAGAACTGCACTGGTGGCTGGTTAATAAAATGAGAAGCAGCGAGGAGGGAGACGGGCTGAGCTGTGGACTTTCGGCTGTCTGGAGGGCGCAGCCATTTTGAATGTTTACAAGTGGTTCCGCCATTTTGGATATTTAAAGCGACAGTGTTCTTTCAGATTCCAGGGATTTAAGAATAGGCTCCACTTGCCAGAAACAGGGTGCTCAGGTGGCGTAGTGCCTAAGGCATTTGACTGCTAACCAGAAGGCTGGTGGTTCAAACCCACCAGCCACTCCTTGGAAGGCAGGTTGGGCAATCTACTTCCATAGTGATACCGCTTTGGTAACCCAAAGGGGTCGCTATGAGTCAGATCCAACTCAAGGACAGTAACTCTTTAGCCTTGCTAAAGACCACAAGGACATTCTGGACACTGAGGATTGGAAAGGTGTGGTATTCCGCTTGTTACTCTAATACCCCATAAATTCTTGGTGAAGAGAAGTGCAGCCATCCCTCACTCCCACCCAACTTCAGGGACGGCAGGAATTCCATCCCAGTCTGTATGCTTGGAGGGAGCCTGGGTGCCCTGCTTCAACCTGCCTCGATTTTTTTTTCTGTTTATACTGTGTTTGTTTTTGCCTGTTTTAAAATTATTCTTCTTTATCCTTTTTTATTATTCTTTCTTCCCTTCCCAGGTTCTAGTTCTTTGCTTTTTATCTCTTCCTTTTTCCTGGTTACCATTTTTTTTTTTTTTTCTTTCTTGTGGTTCTGCCCATTCCTTGTTTTTCTTTTTGCATTTTTCCTGTTTTTTCTTCATTATTCTCCTACTCTACCTCTTTTCCCTTATTCCTCCCTCCCCTCTTGTGGGGTTTTCTTCCCTCCTTTTTCTATTCATATTTCTTTTTGCTTTTAAAAGTATTTTTACAAATATTTTCTCTCATTTATTGCCTTTCCTCTTTTTTTTTTCCTTTTTTCTATTTTTGGTGATTGTTCCTATGTGTGTATGCAGGGTGTGTTTTTTGTCCTTTTGCTTTTACTTTTTTGATGGTTTCTCAATTTTTTTTGATACTTATTAAAATGTAATTTATGTACAGTGAAATACATAAAACTAAAGTGACATGGATCAATTTTTTTTTTTTTTTTTTTTTTTTGCTGTGTTCCCTCCTCTACCCTCCCACCCCTGGTAATCAACAAAGAAAATTTCCTTTCATATATAAACCTTTCCTTGACTTTTTACAATAATGAACTAAAACTGTATTTGCCCTTCAGTGATTGACTTATTTCACTCAGAATAATGGCCTCCAAGTTCATCGACATTATGCAATGTTTTGCAGATCCTATTCTTTTTTTTTATTGTGATTTGGGTGAAAATTTACAGAGCAAATTCACTTTTCATACAGCAGTTCACATGAACTTTGTCTCATGACATTGACCACAATTCACCACAATGCAACAGCTTCCCTCGCACTGCCTCCCGACAATCACCTCTTCCCTGTGTCCATCCCTCCATGCACTCCTGCCCCCTGAGCTGCCTCCCTGTGCATAAGCAGCCCTTCTTTCTCCCATGATTGTTCTCTCCAAAGAGTGTATCTGCCTCAGGTAAAAGTTC